GAGATCCGACGATTCCCGGACTTCATTCTCGTAAGGCTCCGTGTTCGGGAGAACTAGAAACAGTATCTAGCAGAGATATAGCTCGACGGCGAGCGAGAATGAGAAGCACACGAGAAATGGAGATACAGGTGGACAAGAAGGCAGCCCAAGAACTGCTCGCAGCCCTTCAATCTATGCGACGATGATTAGACCGAGAACTGGAGCCGCGATAGAAGGATTCAAGATAGGTATAGCGGAAAATGAGGAAGTATCGATGAAAGCATGATGAAGCCTAGGAAAAGTCGCGTATTATTCACGATCGCGATTATTTTATCACTGGTTGTGAGAGTAGGTAATTTCGATAAATTGGAGCTGCAGCATGTCCGATGTGAAGGCTTGGGCGAGACTAAGGGATATTATGATAAAGTCCCTCGGTCATGGATGAACGGTATGGCGATCGGGGGAAGATGATTTAAAGGTGAGACAAGGCCCGTGATTACCTTTTCTGATCTGAGCTCATAGCTCCTCGTGCAGCCTTCTTTTGCCTGAGACTGCGTTGCCTCACCCTGACAAAAGACGTCCATCTATGACGCTCAGCTAAGCCTGTGTCTGAATGTCTCAATGGACAACGTAAGGTCATCGTTCTATGTGAATTATAGGTGATCCAAACTAGACTTCGGTGACCCGACTCGAAACCGTACCAATGCTATCTCCTGAGCTGGTTAAGGCAGAATCAAGTTGAAGAAGAGGTTCTTATTGTGCAGTGACTCCATAAATCTATCCGTTCATTCCGTCGCCCTTCTGTCTACTCGCGAGTACCCATCAGCCGCCGGACTTCAAACAGTCCCACATTTTACAGATCTGATTGCTTCTGAACACGGATGCAAACTTCGACTCTGATCCCTCCAGCGACATCGGAGGGGTTGCACCCGGGACGGAGGCTCTTTCTTAATCCTTGAGCTCCTCCCCGGCATCGAGGGTGTTACTATCGATTTGTGCGCGATGGGACTGTCGTAGCTCGTAATTTCTTCGCTGATGTAATGGCAATGAGACAATGATGGGCTGCAACTCGCCGGAAGGCATTTTCTTCGCTTCTCAGGTCCGATTCTCTATCAGCTCTATCATATGCATCGAGCCCCATTCGCCCGAATGCCCAGCGTCAGGATAGATTCTCAGAATTTATCAGCTTTCGCCCTCGTGAAATTCCCCTGTCGAATCGTAATCCTCATCGAAGGAGGATGTGTAGCAGTAATCAGAGACTTCTTCAAGTGGGGGAGTTCATCGGCGTGAGTCTGCCGAGATCCGGGACCGACCCCTCCGCTAGAAGAATCAATTTCAATTACGGTCGCACCTCGATGGAGATAATCCGGTCGATTGGGTCTTCAAAGATCCACTCTCTCCCTTTATCCTCTTCCATACTATCGGTGTATAAGATCACCAATGCACTCGATAGAGCACTGTTCTCTCTGTATGAAAAACGCCCGAGCGGGCTGAAATTCGCTCTGTGTGTGTATCTTCGCTTCGTGCTATCCGCTCTGTGCGCTTTGCAAATACCTCGACCCTCAGGAAGGATCCTGAATTCTCCTCGGAATTTTGAAGTGCCATCGGAGCTGATCAGCGTTTGTCTCCACAAAAACTCCGCGGATTTCACCCGAAAATTGCTCGCCTACATCAGAATCTGCGAAGCCATGCGGGCTCTGATTTTGATTTCAGCGGTGCTCCTGGTGATTTCAAGCAGCGCTGCGGAGAAAGGGTCTTGCATTGAGCGAGAGCTCTTCCTCTGCACACCTTGGCCTGCAGGTCTGACATTACAACCAGCAAAAACGGAAGCGGAACTCGACTTGATCTGCACACGACGCCAGAAAATCTACGCATGCTTCGCAGAGGCTGTGAAAGGTTGCTATGACCAGCTCCATCAGGATTGGTTTTCGAAGCACGTCGAGGGTTTTGACGGATACTGCACCAAGAACGAAACACTCCGCCAGGAATACTTCTACGAAATGGTCAATTCAACGCAAATGGATTGCATAAAGCGGATAGCGATTGATCATTTAGATATCTTGGATGGTATGAGAACAAAAGGAATCCGTGAGGTCGACGCAGTCGACAGTGACGATCAGAAGTTACGCAAAAGTTGTTCCTTTGTGAGAGTGTTGAGCGACTTTGTTGCGGATCAGGTGCGAACCTACTGCGGATCCACGGCCGCCAAATACTGGAAAGACTCAATCGGACTCAATACGCTTAACATCCCTTCACTGTGCCGAGACCTTCCCGCGGATGTGATCCCTAATGGTCTCCTACCACCGACAGGATCGGAACTCGTGGCTAGAATATCTGACTTTATTTTTCTTTGAAGCTCAATACGGAAAATATATCTTTGTGATCGTATTACCTGATTTTGTAATCACGAAATTCGACCACCAGGTCTTTAGTTAATGAGTCCCATCCTCAGATAGGGACGTTCTGGGGAGATATCACATCAATCTCCAGATCCGGATGAGCCCTGCCCTGGTTACATAACCGAGAGCACAAATGATGCCCAAATAGAATTAATAATTGGGGAAATGAATTATTGTTTTCGAACTTGGGAGTGCGAGCAGAAACACAAAATAAAAACGCGCAATTGATAAGCTCGCAGCCTGATTGCTCGATACGCTCACAGTGAGGCCAATCAAGCTTTCACGATGAAAGAATTATTTTCCGCATTCAATCAAGTGATTTCGTTTCTGTGAATCAGAAATAGTCCAGCGCACTCGGAGCTAGCGCATGTGTAGTGAGTCTAGCGATACCGCCCCCAGCTGATTTCGCGGACCCCTGGGGGCCCGGGGACCCCCATTTGCCGACTCCTGGTTTAGGCGGTTCTCCTCTTCAAGTCTGAGAGCGACATCAGTTCGCCTCGTTTGTAGTTCGGTCAGTAGAACAGCGAGGTATAGCTTGCGATATGTTCTTCAGTCTTGATCGACTGGCTGGACGGCACGATTTCGTCGAGGCACGATTTCGTCGCTACTCGATGCGTGCTGTTCCTCAAATCCCGGCAGACTTCGACTGCCCTTCACCACCGCCTGCAGCAAGGGGTGCGGCGAGCAGGATAGAGCAAGAGATCGCGGCGTTCTTCCAAGCCGATGCCTCCTCGGCTACATGCTCTTTGGATGGAGATCCGATGATTTTTGGACTTGATTCTTCTGAGGCTACATGCTCTTTGGATGGAGGTCCGATGATTTTCGGACTTGATTCTCGTAAGGCTCCATGCTCTGTGGATGTGGATGGAGATCCGACGATTCCCGGACTTCATTCTCGTAAGGCTCCATGCTCTGTGGGAGGAAATCCGATGATTTTCGGACTTCATTCTCGAAAGGCTCCATGCTCTGTGGACGTGGGTGGAAATCCGATGATTTTCGGACTTCATTCTCGAAAGGCTCCATGCTCTGAGGATGTGGGTGGAGACCGAGCAGGAACTACCGCTGGGAAGAGATGAAACGCCACGCGGTCCTCGCCAGTTTGACGGAAGGTAAGGCGCCCCAGGAGATCATCTCTTCCCACCGGTGGTTCCTGCTTGGTCCGACTTCAGCCATCTTGCAGATATCAACTTGAGAGTCCGGAGAACACAATGAATTCACCGAGATCACGGCTGTGGCAGTTGCGTATCACAGATTGCAGCGATCCCGAATTCGACAGCGAAACAATGCACAGAGGACTCGCGCGGCCTTTCCCTTTTCAAAATGGCTGATGCCGACGGATTCCGACCGTTGGAAATCCGAGAGCGCCATCGCTTGGAAGCATGCTGAGAGGCTGGAGCGCGCTTGAACACAACATCAGCGCTCCCGAGCGGTATTCCGCGTTCCACGAGGAGAATTTCAGGATGACGATTTTCGGAGGAAAAAAAAGTCGGCGGATCGAGCCGCTGACCCCCCGATCGGGTGAGTTGGCTCTTTTTAAGCATTTTTAGCCATCATGAAAATTTTCGAATTCGGCTTCCCTGAGGAGTTATCGACTGATTTTAGCGGCAACCCGGAATTTTGGTTTACCCGATCTTCAGACCAAAGATTACCCCTTCCGCGTTTCCCCCAGGAACAGGGTACCTGAATTTTTTTCATGGCATACCTTCGCCAGGTTGTCCCGCGTCGAACGCAGCCAGGTTGAGCCCGATCGACCAAGCGGTCGCTGAGAAAGAGGCGTTTTCGTGGAGCAACGAGAAAAAAGTGACCGATCATTTCCAAAACGCCCGCAACAGGTGAAGATGGCCGAAATCGTCCCCGCTGGGGACGGAATTTTGTCAGTCAGGGCGAGAGCTGTTGATTGGTGGGTTATTTCATATAGTTTCATTGAGCCGTTCAAAAGTTGGGGCCGGGACGAGGGGAGGGAAGAAAAGTCCCGACTAAAAATGACCACCCTGTATAGGATGAATAAGATCGGGCTC